TCTCTCTCTCTCTCTCTCTCTCTCTCTCTCTCTCTCTCTCTCTCTCTCTCTCTCTAACTCTATATATATATATATATATAAAGAATCTTAAAAGTTCAAACACACAACACACACTCTCGAACCCCTTTCTCTCTTCATTAAACGTTAGCCATAAATATCGAGCCAATTGGGTGCCAGAAAACCACTACAGTCCTCTACCTTAATTGGCCTGAATTTCTTTCAGTTAGCTAGAAAACCACCGGAATTTTCCACTCACCGTACCAAATTATGTAATTTAGGCGGAAAGCCTCTAGAGCTTTTGTTATAGAACCGTAGTTTCTTGTATTCCTTGACGGGAATCTACCAAAATCTCAATGGAGTCCAAATTCCTGTTAGTTTTTCCTAAAAAGCAATTGATTTCTCTATGCAAGGGCTGAAATTCCGAGAAATTTTGCCAAAAAATAATAATTTTCCCTCTTATCAGCACTGATTTGGGCAACCAATGACGAGAAAACCACTGTATCCCTCCTTTCAAGGCCAGAATCCCGTTATTTCTGATTCAAAAACCACCAGGTTTCTCCATTTGCAGGGTGGACTTCGGCAACCTTTGCCGGGTTTCTCCATTTGCGGCCTAGAAATTTGTCAAATTTTGCCAGGAAAGCCACAAGATTTCTCCATTTACAGGCCAAATTCCAATAAGTCATATGATTCCTCCATTTAAAGATCGGAAATTTTTCTAATTTGACCCCATAACCACAAAATATACCATTTAGTCTGGATTCTGGTGATTTTTGACCGGAATCCCATGATTAAAAGCAAAGCTAAGGAAAGCAGCCGATCTTTTGGAGGGCATCTTCGAGTGAGTTAATGAAATCACATCGGCCATTGTTTTCTCAAGTATGAGTTGTTCGACAATTGAGACACTGGACAACATTGATAACTCAGGAAACCCCCAACACCCCCCGCCCCCCCCCCCCCGGTCCGGTGTTTTCATTGCCTGAAAAAGGGGCAACTTAGGGAAAAAAGAGGCCGTAGGAGGGGGGTTGGTGCTCGTAATTTCGAGCAAATGAGACACCAAATGGTAATTGATCACAACCCCCCCCCCTCCACAAATAGAGTCTATACGTAATTTGCTCAAAATTTTAAGATATAAGAATGAGAGAAATGATCAAATGAAAGAAGTTACGGTATGAGAGGTCTTTTCCATGAATTTAGTAATCATGATATACCATATGGTTTTGTATAACATTTCAAAGTATGAAATTATGAAAAAAAATTCCAAAACATAAAAATTTCCATGTGCTAACTTCTAAACATGATCAATTAATTTTCCTTTATGTTCGATAGCTTGATGGTTAAAAGCAACTTTAATCATAAAAGATCAATGGACACTTACGTTCTCTTCATTAATGCTTTTTCTGCATACCGCTTCTTGGCAAACATTTTCCCCTTGATACCAAGTACCTATGGAAGAAGAGAATGTCATATAAATCAACCTCAACTACAGGGATATCCAAAAAAAACAAGCAAAACAATCCAACACTAGGATACCAAGTTAATTTATACGTTACACCATGAAAAACGAGAATCCATGAAAATTGATATAAAGACAAAATTCAATAAAGGGATGTATAATGAGACAAATCAAGCAAACAAATAAATAGGCTAATCAATGAAACCATGGTTTCCATCACTACAAACTGATGTAGAATCCCACAGTTTTATGGCTAACACTTCCATCGATGGACGTGAGCCATATATATCAATTAATTTTTTGGATAACTACTGTATTAATAAAGTTGCTAACGTGAAAGGAGATCGGGAAATTAAATCCGGCCTTCTTTCGATTTTAAAATATGCAAAAACTCAGCAACAATGGAGGAAATAGGTGGTTGTAAATCAAGCCATGGGAAGAAGAAGCTCTCTTTCTTCTTTCATAAATTAACCCTTTTACAAAAAGTACCGAGTTTGTCTAATGGGGACGTCCCCCCCCTTTTTCAATAGAAACTGAACATTAATAAATAAAAACAAAAAAAATAAAAGAATAAAACTTAAAGGAGTCCTAAAGATATCTTCCACTTCTTTCTCTCTCACACACCTGCCACAAAACCTATAATTTAGGCCCTATCACACCTACTTTCCTTTCCCTCTGTCCATAAATTTAGGACATCAAATCCCAAAAGTAAACCTTAACAAAGTAAAAAAATAAACCCAAACATAGTTTTAAAATGTGGCCATATAATGTGTTATGCGTTGGCAACCGCATTGCATAAGGCCGCATATCCGCTTTGGCGGGATGCTCCCGCATATGCGCCACATCCCACCGCATATGCGGCCACATCCCACATAGGGCGCATATGCGGCCAACAAGTACTGTGAAAAAAAAAAAAACCATGAAAGGGGTAATTTCAACTTTTAAAGCCCCGAAAAAAGGGGAGACAGGGTTTCGGGGGAATTAAACCCCCCAAACTACCAAAAACAGCCACATCCAAGGCCTTTACTTCATCAAATCAATCAAAACAAAAAAGTGGCGGAAATTTCCTTTTTTAAAATTCTTAGATTTTTATCTTGGTTGATCTTTGGTTGTTGATTTGTTTCTTTTGGGTGTTGATTTGAGGAAGTTTTAGCAAAGTTTTGACAACAAATCAAAGGTTTTTAGAAATGACAATGATTTGTCTCGAATTTTGGATGCAATTTTAGCAATTTGACTTTTTGATGCAAATTGCAACTGCTAAAACTGTCTAAGTTTTATTTATTTTTAGTTGTTAATGTTTAGGAAATAGTTTTTCTATTAAGTTTGGGTTAGTACCTTGGGAGGGGGGGGTGGGGGGGGGCCTTTATCTTTAAATATAGACAATCATGGGATAGGAAAGGGTAGTCTTGAAAAGCTTTATCTTTCAAAAGATAGGAAGTAATGGGTAGATATGGTGGTATCCTTTTGGTTACCTTTTGCCAATGGTACCAAAAGAGGAAAGTTATCTTCATGTGGGAGTTAAAGGTTCATCTCCACATGGGAGTTAGAGAGATATGGAAGGATTAGATAGAGAGAGATGTGAGGAAAGATAAAAAATAAGAAAGCACGTAGAGAGAGAGAGGGAGTTATTTTGGGGGTTTTCTCCTTCTAAAAGTCTATTTAAAGGGAGATGGACCTTCATTGTAGAGATCAAAGAATGAGAATCGAGTAAATTTGATCTTGTGAAAAGATCGTTTTGGGATGGATTCCCTTGCAAACCTTGAGAGAGGGTATATTCTCTCAACCCTTTTTTTTAGTATTATTATTCCGGTTTTATTTTTTCCCTACATCAATTGGTATTAGAGCAAGTAAGATCCAGAGATCCAGCTTTTTTGCAATGCCACAAAAAGCTAATCAAACTTATCCCACTCATGCTATGGATAATCGCTGGGGACAAGCTATAGAAAATTCCACTCAAGCGATGGAGGATGCTCGAACCGAAGTACATGAAAATGAATCAATGGTTACAACAGTTGGAGAACAATGTTCATCACAAAGAAGGTGCTGGCAACCACATCGATCTTGCAGCAGTAGTCCCACAACAAACCTAGGGTGTTGATTCCAATCATAACGAAGAAATTTACAGGGCAAATACATGTCCTATAGAGCGACCATGAGATTTTGGTATTAAAGTTGATCTCCCAAAATTTCATAGTAACCTCCATATCAAAGCTTTTATTGATTAGTTAAGTGAAGTTGAAAATTATTTTTAATGGAGTGAATTGCCAGAGGAACATAGGGTTAAAATTGTTGCTACCAAGCTCCGCGGGTATGCTACAGCCTGGTGGGAACAAATTCAACAATCTCGACTTCGTAGTGGAAAGGGAAAAATTACAAATTGGTAAAAGATTTAAAAAAAAAATTGAAAGAAAATTTTCTTCTTGTGGATCATGAGTAAATTTTCTTTCAAGAATTTCAAAATCTTCGACATAATGAAAAGATGGTGGAAGATTATACTAGGGAATTTTAACGATTAGTTGCTCGAAACAACCTCCAAGAGACGAAAGGATAGAAAGTTGCTCGATATGTAAATGGCTTTCAACCCACCATTAGGGATGACGTTTTTCTACATCAGCCATGGACTTTTAAGTGAAGCTTTTCAAATTGCTTTACAAGTAGAGACTAAATACCAATGGATCACCGATAAGCGATTTTACACTCGAAAGAAGGTTTCACGCCAACTGAAATTTAATGAAGACAAAAAGGATACTGCAAAGTTTGCGTTATCGATGACATGAACTAAGACACAATGCACATGAATGCCCAAAAAAGAGGATGGAGGTACACTTGGCTAAGGAAGAGGATGAAGTTCAAGAAGAAGATCAAGCTTCAAAAGTGATCCTACATGGTGATGAAGGGGATCCACGTTGAATCAAGCTCCAGGTCAAGCTTCTCCCAACCCCATGAGAATGATGCAAATTGCAATTGCTAAACCTGTCTAAGTTTTATTTTTTTAGTTGTTAATGTCTAGGAAATAGTTTTTCTATTAAGTTTGGGTTAGTACCTTGGGGGGGCTAAAAGGGGACTTTCATTTAATGTGTGGGTAGAAGGTTTCTTTAGGTAAGCAACAAAAAGGGCCACGTTTTGTTTGGGGAGCTTTATCTTTAAATATAGAAAATCACGGGATAGAAAGGGTAGCCTTGGAAAGCTTTTATCTTTTAAAAGATAGAAAGTGATGGGTAGATATGGTCATATCTTTTTGGTTACCTTTTTTTACCAATGGTACCAAAAGAGGAAAGTTATCTTCATGTGGGAGTTAAAGGTTTATCTCCACGTGGGAGTTAGAGAGATATGGAAGGTTTATCAGGGGATAGTGGATATAGAATCTCTAACAGTTGATACTTTTGGGGTTAATGAATAAACCAAATACCTACAACCACATAAATCACCTCCATATTTTTTTCTATATATTATTTTATTTTTAGAATTATTTTATATTTATTTACCGCATCAGAGTGATGCATCGGAATCTGGACCGCATAGCTGCATCAGACCCCCCAACGCATCGGTCCGCATCCCGCATTTTAAAATACTGAGCCCAAACCATTGTCGTTGAAACCTTGTGGGAAAGATCACAAACCCGCTCCAGAACCTCAATCCCATGATTCCAACTAAGGAGCTTGGATGGAACGCATATCCTTATATTGGGATCTTCATCCCCAATGGGTTTGAGATGCGGTTCTCTATTCAGCGTTGATTCATATGCAATGTTTCAGATTTGTGCCCAATAGTTATGTGAACTCATGGATCATTTACAATCCCTTAAAACTTACTATTGTGACTTCTTTCTCATTGAATCGCACTTCCTTGTGATAAAGATCTTGCTCCCTTGATATAGGATGTTCCAGATGACCATCCTAACCACAAGGAGCTTTCAACAATCCACGCTTCTACGGACCCGAGCCAACTCCCGCTCCCGAGAATGCACCAGCACCCGACAATTATGGTCCAAACCCCTATTAGAAATTTTTACCAAAATAAATTTCAGCTTAATTCCTGGACACCTCAAATGCAATTTGCATTATATTCCCCGGTTCAGGAAAAAACTTGTCTCGAGTTTTTGTTATTGCATCATCATCCTCCCTTAGCAGATGGTCAAGCCTTACATCACAACGCAATTGTTCTTTGTAAAGTATGAGACTAAACACCATTAGTGCATCTATCATGGATACCGACTCCACACATGACGGGAAACAAATTGCTGATTGAGGGATCAAAATCGACCACCCTTGCTGAAGAAGAACCATTATTTCCCACCAAAAAAAATCAGTTCCTGACTGAAGGAACTTTCTTCCATGTCTGGTCTTGAAAGATTTACCCTAGAAATAAGCAAATACTAACTGACTCCACGAATTCAGCACAAGTTGTGAATTTTACTGATCCCCAAAAATCTCTCAACAAGTGAGGTTCATACTTGATGATGATGCCCATAACTGATAGCAACATCGTTATTGCATAACCCCAAACATAGGGCCAAGAATTTACCCGATTTGGATCTAAAACCCAATTTCGGATCCTATTTAAATTTGGGTATGAATCCAAAAATTGGATCCAAAATTCGGATACGAATCCAAAATTCAGATCCGAATAAAATTTGGATCGGATCTGAGTATAGGTGGATCCGATCCGGATCCATCCCGATTTTTTTTAAAATAATATATTTTTATTTTATATATGTACATATAAATAAATTACAATTTATACACAAAAGATGTATAGCAATTTTAAATTTAGAAGACCCAATCCCCACCATATGTTAATGAAGATTAACAATGGGGATTAGATCTCACTTCTCTCTCTACACTCCCAAATTCGATTTTCTATTCTCTCTCCTCAAAGCAGCCATGCCCAGCTGCCTTCTCTCTCATCCCATCCACTTCAACATATGGAAGCCACTCTCTGTGGCTTCCCCTCTCATAGCCTCCTGAAATGGCACCCCATCTATCCTCTC